TGCATTATGATGTGTTCATCCGAACAAAATTAGTTCTACATTTTTCATCGCTTAGATTTTTGGTCTGACTCCTGAGCAATTCGTAATAATGCTCGCTGTGCTCGTGCGGCTCGGAACATGAGCCATTGACCACAAATGGCTCGACGTGGTCGTTGATGTTTCTCATTTGAAAATGAAAAGCGTCACGCTAGCAGCTTTGGTCTTTGGTCATTGGTGGTCACAGAAGTCGTTCCGCGGCGCTCAATTCGTTGTCGGGTAGCAATCGGGGACGAGGGTGTTGTTGTTTAGTAGAGGTTGGTGTTTGGTCGCTTAGCGCGAGCTGCGCGTCAACATAGATCGCAAACGGGAATCCCCGGAACGTTTCGAGGGATCGCCGTGAGGGGGAATTCACCCCGAAACCTACTTCGAAGTCTACAGGAGATCCGCTCTGTGAAAACCAGATAAGTGGACTCCTCGTGCCCATTTTCGAACGATTTCATAAACAGGTTCTGTCCTGAAAAAAGAGGAAAAGCTCCCGAACACCTCATGAGGCTCTTGCTTGCGCTCAGGAAAGCACAACTTATCCTATAGAATGTTTGCCAAACTTAACAAGTCGTTCTAGCGAGGGAAACAGTAAGAGACGACCATCATGGACCTTGTAGGTAAAATTCGAGCTAGGTTGAGGCACGTCTAACGTCTCTCTGACGCCGTTATTCCATTAGCTCGTAGTAATGAAGTGAGGAAATGATTGTCTGAGAATATTTACGGCCTTGACTCTCTCAGTCACTTCCCAGAGTGGAGGTTTTTTAATGACCTTCCAAAGCTGCGAATCTTTTCTGGTTCGTCACCCATTTCGCATTTGGCTCGATGTCAACTATGGCTATAATAGGGCTTTAATTGCAGTAAAACGCACTACTCTAATCGAAGGATGGAAATCTGGAACCATTGAACGCTTGGATAGAAAGCCTTTTGGGAGAAATCGACCCTGGGACCACATACCATCACTGCCTTGATGTCCGCTCTTCAAGGGTGACCACGCCATCCTTGCAGGACGCATCTATGCCATTCGTTTCGATTTCTTGCCATTTGTTGCCATCTCTGTCCAAATAATTTCCTAAAAGGATCACTCCACCTGGCTGGGGGTCTCCCTTGCGGTCTTTTAACTCCGCGGGGATACCAATCGGTCACTCGGGATGTCCAACGGTTATCGCTAAGACGAGCTACATGTCCTGCCCACGTTGCCGCTTCACGTCCCCTCCCAAATAGGGAACCCGCAGAAGGGTTTCAAGGTAGTCACAACTTAAAACAGAAGTCCAGCACAGTTCATTAGATGTCTTCCATGCAGGATAAAACAACAGCACAAGAAATAATGCCTCAGCGACTTCTCCTTATAAATTGGATTTTTTTTTTTTTTTTTCATTTTTCATTTTTTTCTGATCAGTAGTACTCACTGGTATAAATGAAGTCTAACCAGAATGTATTGAAAAACTAACTATTCAATAGCTTTCACACTGCTCTCAGCTATAGCAGCTTCATTGTCGTGGCTCGTGATTTGTTTATTGTTTTGACAATTTGGCGATGGAGCGCTGAACGTTTCGAGCATCATTTCTTCCGCTGTTTAAATTGAGGAGCTTTCTAACTAGGCTTATCAAACCTTTGTGGAAGCTCATCGTGATTGGCCTCTACCGCATTGTATCTGTACCTATTGCCGTCAGTACGTTAGAAGTGGTGAATTTCTTGTCACTGGCAGAGGCATCCCTTCCAGCCGAAAACTCCATGTTAATTAATTGCAAGCATTATAACAAT